TAGCCATATCTCCTAGGTATTCAGCGCTCCCCCTTGCCTCTTCTTGTTTGGCCCTATTCTCCCTTCTCACCTCCTTCTCTTCTTCTCCAGACTCTTCCTCCTCTTAGTTTGCAGCCTACTCTTTTTTTTTTTTAAGAGTTAATTTTATTTATTTATTTATTTATTGGAGAGGTTTTTGCTATAGGGCGCATGCGCTCGCCAGACAGAGAGAGATAGAGAGACAGAAAGCTAGAAATCACCCCCCAGGGGGGGATGGCCACGCTGCAATCCCTTCTCCTCCATTCTCCTCTTGGGATCTTGGGCACGCACGCACACACACCTGGCATGAGCTTATGCCACCAGGTGGACTACATGGGAGTCCAGCGACATAGCCATTATGCTAACAGCTGGTCCCTAATTTTATTTATTATTATTTTAATTTGTTATAGGGCACACATGCTCACCAGAGATTGGAGAGGGGTGAGAGAGAGAGAGAGGGAGAGAGACAGAGAGAGAGAGAGAAAGCCACTAGGTCCGGGGCTCGAAACGTGGTTGGCCATGTGGAAGTCCAGTGCCTTAACCACTATGCCACCTGTGCCCCCCCCTTCTTTTTCTGCCCTAAGAAAAAGCCTTAAAGGTCTCGCAGTGCAGAAGGGGAAAGCCATCTGTAACAACCACAACTGCTCTCCATCAAGTGTTGAGATTTACATACAGTATCTCATTTAATCTTCAAAATAGCCCTTTAGTAGTTATGTCTTCATTCCAAAAGGTGACAGGTGTAGTGGCTAGAACCTGAACTCCAAAACTGCCTTGAATTTTGGCCATGCAACTTACCTGCTGTGTGACCTGGGAAAGTCACTCAGCCTGTTCGTGCCTCAGTTGCTTCATCTATAACAGAGATTATAGTTTCTTCCTCCTAGGGGTTGTGTAAGGATTAAGTTAACAATGATTGCTACAAGTAAACAGCATATGTGTATTAGTTAATATTAGATACTATTTTACAGAAGAGGAAACCAAGGGACACAGTAATTGTCTTGCTCAAGGTCACACAGGTACTACAAGGCAGAGTCCAGATTCAAGTGTGAGTGGGTGTTACCGCAATATCCACTAATGGCTACAGGAAGCATACACTAGGACTGCGAGTATAATTCCAGTCAGGACATTTTCAGGGCTTTTGTTAGCTAAGAGGACAGTAGAGGCAAAGACGGGCTAAGAGCGACTTGGCCAGAATCCAAGAAGGATTTTAATAAGGTTAAAAAGATTCCACTTAGTCACGTGTACTCTTGTGTCGGTTAATCATGCTCTCTCCACTCCCCTCTCCAGCTCTGGCACCCGCCATTACGCTCTCTATGCAGCTGAGTCTTTTTAGCTTCTGCTAATGAATGAGGACATACGGTCTTTGTCTTTTTAGACTCTGGCTTATTTCACTTAGCATTATTTCCTTCAAGTTTGTCCATTCTGCCTCAAATGACAGGAATTCATCCTTTATAATGGCTCATATGCCCTGATTTGATCATTACACACTGTATACATGTGTTGAAAAAAAAAAACAACTACACTTTACTCCACAAAAAATGTACCGTTATATGTAAATGAGAAAATACAATAGAAATGATTATTTAAAATTCTAAATATCTTCCTGTTCCTCTTTCTGAAAAGCCATTATCAATAATAACAGTAATTACAGGGAAAGGGATAGAAGGCAGTCTGTTAGTGAGCAAGAACTCCCAGGTACATAGTGGTTTTAGGCTTGTATATTAATTAGGTCACTGGAAAAGTCATGATGTATTTTTCTATGCAAACATGCCTCATGACTTTCCCAACAACCCCATATATTCTACATTTGCCAACACATAATGATAAAGGAACCTTTACTAAAAGATGTTGCAGGTTTTTCACTGTGAGAACTCGTTCCTGTTATAGAAGCCTCACTCTGCTCTCAACAATTGGGGAATGCTTATTTTTCACCTTATGTGATTTCTTCTGTCTTGTTTTAAGCCAATTTCACAGCTGTGGGAAGTAGATTAATGACAAAAGGCTCAGGACACCACATTTTAAAAGGACTTGAGCTAAAGTTTAGGGACTAGAATAATAAAAGCTCCAGGTACCAGTACTGTCCTGAAGCTTTGTGTTGGACGACAGGACTTGATTCTGAAACTTCTTCAGGGCACTCTGCTGGGACTGGAACAGTTGATACCATAACCCCACATAATGGAGATTGGATCAAATGAGTTATGCTGGTTTTCTTTCTTTTTTAAAATTTACATTAATTTGGGACCAGCAATTAACGTAATGGCTATGTCGCTGAATTCCCATGTAGTCGACCGTGGTTCAAGTCCTGGACCCAGTGGCTTAAACTCATGCTGGGCACATGTGCGTGCGTGCCCGACATCTCAAGAGAATGGAGGAGAAGGGATTGCGGCGCGGCCATCCCCTCAGGGGGTGATTTCTCGCTTTCTGTCTCTCTGTCTCTCTGGCGAGTACATGCGCCCTGTAGCAAAAACCTCTCTCTGAAAAAAAAAATTGACATTAAATCATTGCACATCTTTACAGCATTCTACATGGCTTTCCAAAGTATACATACAGTGCGTGTCAAACGAGTCAAAGAGATTACCATACACATCATCCTCGACATGTAACTTTCCATCCTTGCTGTTTTGCTATTTTTGAAACAGAGCTTCAATGTACCTATCTTGCCAATGGTTACACCCTTTTCTTTAGCCTTTTAAAAAAAAAATTGAAATAGGGCATGTGCATTCACCAGAGAGAGGGACAGAGAGAGAGAGAGAGAAAGAGAAAGAGAGAAGGAGAGAGAGACAAAGGGAAAATGAGAATGTACCCCTCCATGGGAAAAGGCCATGCCACTATCCATTCTCCTTTCAGGATTTTGGGCACATGTACACACATGCCTGGTTTGAGAAGCCACCAGGTCTGGGACTTGAACCACACAACTGGTCATGTGGGATCCAGCCGCCTTAACCGTCATGCCACTAACTGGTCCTAGCCATTTTTTTTTTTTGTTCTTTAGCACAGATAAGATGTTTAAATGAGCCAGAGACAAGAAGAGCCATTTTAATCTTCATAGCTATTTGCTAAGAGAGATAATGAGCTGATGATGGTCTATTTTATCCTAGAGAGTAAACCTTATACTTTTTTCATTACAAGTACTTTGAGCAGCAAAATGAATTATAGCAAGGTACGTATTTGATGCCTTCTGTCCTTTTTTAAAGAATTATTTTATTATAATAATACTAATTATTATTTAACTATTTACTATTAACTAATAATATTATAATAATACTAATTATTATTTAACTATTAACTATTAACTAATAATACTAATTATTATTTAACTATTAACATGGATCATGTGTGCTCACCAGAGAGAAACAGAGAGAGACAGGTCAAGTGAGAAAGCAAGCCACCAGGTCTGGGATTTGAACTGTGGTTGTCCATGTGGGTGTCCAGTGCCTTAACCACCACTTGCTGGCCCCACCTTCTCTCTTTTCATGATAAGGTGCTAACAAGGTGTGGTGTATTTTACTCAGCCCAAGTCTCTCTGGTTTGCTAAGAATTG